TTTATTTTGTGATTTCCTCTCTTGATTTTCTGTTTGGCGCATTATATGTTTGCTTTTCTGAGTGTCATTGAAGTCATCATTGATTTACGTTTTCGGGGGCAGTCATTGAACGCCTCTCGAGCAGAAGGCAGTTCAAGGCACTGAGAGCAAGAAGGAGAAGGACGTGCCTGCACAGTAGTTGCTTGAGTTGTGCATGTTTTAAAAAGGAACAGCTCTTTGTTTTCTATCGTTTTGCACTGCTGCAGAAACTGCCGTGTGAACGCAAGTGGGACTGCACCGGGGTTAACACGCTCAGCGGCTTTGTACGCGTGAACGCTCCACAAAATTTGCTCCGGTGTAAGATATATTGCAACAAAATACATCGGTGCAGCACCGGAGCAAATGTGTGCCGTGTGAACACCCCTAAAGAAGCTCGCACTGTTCTGCACAGGAGAAGTGAACCAATCTCTTTTTTTCGTCAATGGATGCTACAGCTTCTTGTTGACTTTGAAACTTAGCTTGTAGCTGACATGAGCACATTTTGAGCATGACGTCTTTGATCCACTGCTGAAAGGACACTTTGATTCTCTCCTCTTTCATCTCAAACTGCTTTAAACAACAAAGCGTATGCGGGTAAAAGCGGTTAGGACTGCACGACTGTTTTTGTTATGTGTTGCGTTTATTATTTTACTTTATGTTAACTGTTTTGTTCAGCCCTTTGTTACAGCTGCTGCTGTTGTTAAAGCGCTATATAAATCAGGATGTATTGTATTGTTCATACCCGACTGCACACCATCTGTACAGCCAGGGGCGAAGTTACGTGGTGGCCATGGCTTGGCCTGTCGACTTATCGTTCGATGAGGTAGAAATGGACACAATAGTTTATTTATTTATTTATTTATACTCGATAAATGGTGTTGGAGGCCAGGAGGGAGAGGATGTTGTGGTCACGGCGGGATCCTTTCGCCGTCCTCCAGGTCCTCCACATGTTCGTTTGAATTCAGGCTGAAGTGAGGTGTGAAATCAGAGGCTGGAAATGGAGAAGTTTTCTCAAGAAGATTTTATCTGAACGTTCAGGGCACAAGTATGATACAAGTAATCGTTGTGATCAAGGCACAAATGTGCGAAAGCAACATCTCAAAACAAGTATTATATATTCTAATACCCTTTTCCCACTGAAACTAGTGGTAGTAGTGATCCGTGGCGACACGCAACCTATTGGCATATTGTCCCTTTCCTATTGATCAACCGAAGGCGATTCAGCCCCCGCCCCCCTTCCACCACTTTGCGTCTGGTCACGTCACCACGCTGTGATTGCGTAGATCAGGGGTCCCCAACCGCCGGTCCGCGGACCGGGACCGGGCATTTGGTACCGGGCCGCACAGAAAGAACTTGCCTTAATTCAGTTTTATTTCGGAATACGAAAGATGTTTTATTTTGAAAAACTACCGGATTCTCCGTTA